GGATATATATATATATATATGGCAAAGTGAAACAAAATTAAGTTTTACTATATTTCTTCACATAAAACATTGAAAGGAAAAAACAATTTTTTTTATTTCTTAGGAAATTTATTCACTTTATTTTTCTTCCCATTTGTTACTTTATAATTTTCGTATTTAAAAATTAATGATTACTGATTAATTGTTATATTAATGCAAATATCCATGTCTACTATTAGGAAAAGACATAATAAAAGCAAACAAATCATTAGACAGAATTCTGGTTTCAAGTCATTTTATTCTTTATTGCTCACATAAATGCAATTATTATTTGGTGATATTTACATATTGTGATACTTTGGAAACTTTATACCTGTATTAATATAGTTGTTGCCTTTCTTTCCAGTTCTTTAAATTCTTCGAAATAAGTGTTGTGTTCATATACTAAAGTTTAGAGTTTACAATAAACCATGGTAGTACATATTTTTAAACTTTTTTTAAATATTGAAATTTGACTTTTCTGATATCTAAACAAGTGCACACAGCACTTTAAAAAATTATAAGCAAAAATTGCTATCATTAATGGTGGGCTTACTTAATTGGCTTTTTTTTCTTATTTTTTATACATATAAGAACATAAAATTTATCTTTATGACCATTATAGAAGATTTTTTAAAATTTCCATTATTTCATTTGAAAAAATTATAGCATTACATTCATGCAAAATAAAATATTAATAATAAATAAATAAAGACATGAAATAAGAATAAAGAAAACTATGAGTGAGGAATGCTAGTAGAAACTTACAAGGTTTTTAAAAGAATAGGAAGATCTAATTACTAATAAATTAATAGATATGTAAATGTTTAAAAATGACCAAATTATTTCAGAAAAATAGAATGTTAGCAACATGAAGTTTTGATTAATAGAAACAAATTACTGTATAAAGATTAGCAATATCATTTTGAAAGACATATAAAAATGGCCATAGAAGCCTCCGTTAAATTAGCATTGACATACCCTTACAAAATTTTATCAGTGAATGACCCTTAATAACCCAATTTGATTTGCCTCCGTATGAGATTAATCCATGTTAATCTATAGTTCAAAATTTAATTTTATTGATTTTTATAGATTTTAAAAGTGTGTGATAGAAAATTTTTGGCATTGCAATTATTTTTCCACATCAACACAAACATACCTAACACCTTGAAAAAATAATCCCAAGAAACTGAAGTAGTAAGATATCACCAAATTGAAAAATTTATTCATTCAGAAAGAAACAAATAAGAAATAACAGTTGACATCTTTTAAGTGCATCAAAAATAGCTACCCATTTTCAAGACAAAAAGTATTCAAAATAAAAAACATAAAGTAGCCAACAAAAAATGAGAAATAAAAGGAAAAAACAAACCAAGAAAAAAAATGAAAAACGGAACACGAAAAATAATAGAGGCTGGGAGTCAAATCAGAGTAAAATGAATTTCCATGCATTATAGAGAGGTGGGGTGGAACTACTTTTATTCATTTATATGCTGATTCCACACCTCTCCAAAAAGCAAGGAAATGCATTTTACCCAGATTTGCCTCTCAGCCAGTTCTTCTTGTTCTGTTTTTCATTTATTTTTCTCTTGGCTTCTGTGATTTTTTATGTTTTGTTTCTCAACTTCATTTCTCATTTTTTGTTGGCAGCTTTGCATTTTTTATTTCAAATCATTTCTGTTTCTTTACATTGATATTTATATCTGGCAAGTCTTGAAAATGATTGCCTATTTTTGATGTGCATGAAAGATGTCAATTGTTATTTCTTATTTTATTTCTGAAGTGAATGAAGTTTTAGGTAAAAGCCTAAAGCCAGTAATAATCAGAAATATGCCTAAAATATGAATTAGAATAATTTTTATAATATTAATTTTGCTTGAAAAAATATTTGCAGCTTTATATAAAACAGGGTATTTGTTAAATAAAACAACAAGAAAAAATTTCATTTCTATATATACCTTTAACTGATGATCCATCATTAGGACAAGTGGTACCTTCTCCCTTAGCTAAAATTTTTCTTAAAATACCGTTATCCTTCTTGAAACTCAAATCTTCCATCCTCCAGTCACATAATTCTACTTCAAATAATAAAGGAGAATAGGGTGGTATAACAGGAGGATATCCAGCTTCACCATAAGCATATTGAGGTTCTACAATGAATAAAGCTACCTCTCCCTTCTTCATTGTGGCTAATCCTACGTCCCAACCTTTAATAACTTGTCCTAAAACATATTTCAAATTGAAACATCAGAAGGAAAAATTCAGGTAAAAAAATATTTAAAAAATAATGAGAATATTTATGTAAAAAAATTTTTTTAAAAGTTTATTTTTAAAAAAAAAAGAAAAACCTAAACATGTCTGTATGTATATTAATATAATAAAAGAATATAAAATTTTGAAATCATAAATGTAACTTTCATACAAAAATATTTACAGGTAAAAAAATTTTTTATTAGCGCAGTGAAATTATGGCACTTAAATAAATATTTCAAACACCATAATGATAGTTTAAACACCATAATCCATACAATTATGATATAAAATAACATATTTTAATTTTTTTTTTAATAGTTTTGAAATTTAGGAAAATAGACATAAATGCAACATTGCCTCTGAGATGCTTTTTCTCTACCATATTTCAGAGTTTTCAGTGTTAGCAATAAGTAATAAATATATTCAGAATGGCATTGCACATAAAAAAAAAAAATCTCAAGAAATGTTATGAGATTAACATCATTCTCAAACCCTTTAAAAAATATCTATATCATCTGGATAGAAAATTGGATTGTATGTGCTTGTCAGATTAAACTAAAACTTATATTTATCACCCTTCAATTCTTAAAGAAATTTTATTAGAGAAATATCTTTCAATAAAGTTAATACAGTGTTAAGAGACTTAAAAACAATTTATAAAACATATTTTGAATACATTTTCAATAAAGCTTGCGAAAATGCAATTCAATACTTTTGTATGTCTTAATTTATAATTCATTGTGTAATATTTATCAAAAATATGATTCAAATTTAAAGAATGTTTATTACAACAAAATGGTTAAATATTTTGAATAGCAATGCAAAATGGCAATCAAAATATCAAAAACCAAAATAACTAATTCAGAACCCTTGTAGGTTAAAATATAATTTTAAATTATAAAATATGATGAAAGACCTGATAAGGGAATATTATGATACATACTATAGATGCTAACTATATTACCAAGTCACGAATATACTTTTCAATTCAACATCCTTAGTTCCTAATCAATAGAATATAACTTGCTTATTAGACTTATTTCAAGAAGTAAAAAAATCAAAGAATAATAACTAATTAGAGACAACTCAGAAGTCCTGAGTACTTATTATTCCTTTATATGTATTTAACTATATGAATATTTATTTTTTATTTACTTTACAAAATATTTTCTTACAATGCATAGTAAATATTTACAGAGTTAATGCTATAATATAACACTAATTTTCACCAACACACAGTTTATACTACTTCTTTGCATTGCAATTTATTTTACTTTTATCATTTATTTTTCTGTTTACTTTACAAAATATTTCCTTACATTGCAGAGTAAATATTTCAGATTTAATGTGATAATGAAATAAAATGAAACACTTTAGGGAAACACAAATTCTCAATTAAATAACTTTCTGCAAGCAATTCATATAGTACACTTGATAACAACCCTTTCATTTCGACAAAATTTGTTTGAAAATCACAGATTTTTTCAAAAATGTTTTAATTTTTAGAAAACTCTATATTAATTGTCATGCAGCATCCCTGTAAGTTAAATCCAATGATGTAACTGTAGGAAAAATGTTGCTGCACAAAGAAGAGAAATTTTCATATCAATCTTCGCTAGATTGGCCAGCAGTTTAGGGTAAGTGAACTTAAATATTTTGTTTTTTTTTTTATAAGTAATATTAAAAAAGTAATATTATTTTTCCATGATTTTGAAAAAAAATTCTAAGGGGGTAAAATAAAAAAATTTAGACCATTTTTTATTCATTGAGAGCAGTGTTCTCCCTAAGCATTTTTTGAAGGGCGACCCGCCCTGCTTGTCCTTTGATCCCAATCAATGCCTCCTCTTTGCCTGTTTTGTAAAAGAAAGCAGCCATCCCTTAAAAACACTGCCTTTCTATTCAGATTTCATTTTTAAAAAAAAATTCTTCATTGTTTTTAAATAATAATCACACACTGGTAAAATTATCTGTGTTTACAGGTATAATTCTGATTACTATTATAAGTATTTACTTTGTTAGGATTATTCTCAATTGGTTAAATTTTTACAGGTATTGTTTTTCGAGGGGGAGAAATATCAATAAACTTTTTAAGTTATTTTAAATTTTAAAAATAGTTTTTTAAATAAATACCTTTTTTTAAAAAAAATGCATCTTTAAATGTTTATTTTCTCATAGAAAAAAAGCTTTTTAAAGCTGTTTATAAATTAATCATTTCTTGCTACTTGCTAGTTTAATTTTCTTGAAGAAAAGAAGCAATCACAGAGATTTCCTTTTAGCATGCCTAATTATTTTTATAAACTACGAATTGTTTTGATTATGAGAGTGAACTACCATTTGAAATACTCTCACAAAATAATACAGGTGGATAACTTAAGAACATAATTATTATTCCTAAAAAAAATATCCGGCGACTCCCAATTTTTATATAAAGTGATTCCATTACGTACATTGGTTTCTCACATTTTTTACATCATACTGAGAAAACTAAGGTGTATTAACTATCTAAAACTGAGTTTATTTTAACTTTCCCAAAAACTTTCATTTTTTTTAGGACATCAATCATAACATAAGTAATAAAAATAGCACAAACTACTTAAATAAAATAAAATAATAACATATATGTTTATATTGCATATATATAACATGAGAAATTAATGAATGAAAAATACCTCTTCCTAAACTAAATTCGACGCTTTCTCCCTTGCGCGTACTGTCAAAAACTTCTCGATTGCTCATTAACCAGCCAGTGTAATGAACACTCACTTTATCACCATATCCTGGATATTCATCACCCTCACCTTCTTTCAGAATTTGCTTTCTTACACCATTGGATAAATCAGGAGAAATATCAAACATCTCAAGCACAGTTTCATCTTCGTTTACTTTAGAATTTTCGGTTCCAGTAACATCACTCTCTGAATTTTCTAATTCGGCAACGGTAATCTCTGAGTTTTCCCCTTCTTTCCCATCATTTTGTTCTGTATTATTAGAATGATTTGAAACATCACCTAAATTTAGATGTTCTCCAGAGAAGGAAGATTCAGCATTGGTGTCTGATTTAGAATCTAAATATTAAAAAAATGTAAAAAAAAATTAGTAAAATATCGCTAACTAACTAATGTATACAGTGAAACCTGTTGACTGCCTCTGTATATTGATCACCTGCTTAAGTTGATCTTAAAAAACAAATTTTTAAATTCTTTCTACATTAAGTTTATTAGTCATCTAAGTAGGTCATCAATTTTTTTTCTCTTTCACTAAGTAATTTTCATACATAGGTTTCACTATTATAACAAAATTTGAAACAGAATAATAACTAACACTTAATCAGGAGTCTGTCTGGGTTTTTCTGAAAGGTACCTATTTTATGAAAATTTAGACAAAATTTCTGAAAATTAAAAATTATATTAAAAAATCAACACAAAAATAAAGTAAAAATATGAATTTATCGTTTTTTACAGCATACAAAAATAAAATATTAAGAAATTTTTTATGCTGTTTTTTACAGCAAACAAAAATAAAATATTAAGATATTATTATAATATTACTTTGTGAAACTAACATTTTTCATAAAGTTGAATTTCTAAAGGCACCAATAAACGGTAATAAATTTGGCCTAGACAGAGCCCCTGTTAATGTATCAGGGATGAGAGTAGTCAGAAAGTAAAATAGAGGAAATCCAAGAAAGAAAAATATATATATATATATATAATTTGTCAAAAAAAGTGCGATTTTTAAACTTGTAAGCCATGTGATTATAAATCCCGATATGAGGCTTTTAAATCACGTAAATATGAACTCTACATCGAATTTAAAAAATTTGAAAATAAAAATCATGATTTTTTAATTTTTAGATCACGATGCGTAATTTTTAAATCGTGCGATATTACAACCGCAAAAACGAATCACGACATTGGATTTTAAGCTCGCGTGAATACGAATTGCTACATAGGGTTTTAAAAGCTCGTAAATACAAATCGCGATATTGATTTTTTAAATCTCGTAAGTAAGAATCGCAATGTACAATATTTAAATCGCCTGAATAAGAATCGCAACGTTCAACTTTTAAATCAGGTAAATACGAAAATCGAGGTTTGATAATGAAATCGCAATTTTAAAAATGCATAAATACAAAACACGATATTGGATTTTTAAATCTCGTAAATAAGAATCGCAATGCGCAACTTTTAAATTGGGTAAATACGAAAATCGATGATTGATATTAAAATCGCGTGAATAAAAATCGAGATATTTGCAGAGTCTAAAAGGGATTGGCTTTCTTGGGCTTGTTTGTTTTGTTTTTGTTTAGACATAATAAATAAAAATTTACAAGATTAATTGAATGAACAAATAAATATTTTCACCGCAAATCCACCTCTATTTTTTTTCCATTTTTTTTTCACGCCAGAATACAAGAAACAGCGACGTCTGAATTACGAAAATACGAGCTATCCAGCCGACAGATAAAAAATACGGAAAATCTTATTTTCTGTGCGTGAAATCGGAGAAAATAGCTAATATAAGTAAAAATGCGAAAGGGTTAGCAGCTAGGGCATAGATTGAATTTTCTGTTTATCTTTGAAAATCGTAAATAAGTATAATTATTTTACTTCAAAATGACTGAATT